AGTGTAGTGAGTAATTGAACTGCAGTCAGAGAGTACTGTTGAAGTTGAGCACGTTCATTGTTATAGCGCGACTGTTGAAAATAAGTGTATTGTAAAGCAGTATTCGGAAAGAATAAACCAGTTTTATTAAGAAAGACTTGTGTCGCTAAAGTTTCGTGGGAACGAAGTTACGGAAAATCAACTAACGAACGGCGACGTAACACTATGTTAGTCATATCTAAATGGCATTGCAAACTCTTTGTTTGTAAAGGGGGAGGAAGTGAGGCCTCACTACCTTACACCTACCAGAACTAGAAGAATCTTCAACTTCAGATTATCTATCATAGTAGGCTTTCAAACAATATGTTATTGATTAGATTGTCTGGTTCCTTGTTAAAATCTATTTGACATCTCTTATGAGGAGGTTTACGACGCTTTACTATCTGTGTAGAAGTGAAGGCAAATTGTGTCGGCGACGCATTTGGTTTGATCTTCTTCAGCTCTTCCAATTTCACATTAGGCCCCATATATGGTCCTACAGGGAATCAAAATATTTCCATAAAATGCAAATGAAAATTTGAAATAAATACAGAGGTACAATATATAATGTAGTATAGAAAACAAACAGAAGAAAACATTCCAGACGAGTTTAAATTTCACTGTAATGAATATTATAAAGATGTTTTCTAGTCCTATACAGCAGGTTGGAAGCACGATACTCGCATCAAACATATCAACAAACAATGCAATTCTTTATTCAATGGTAGCTTAATCTTGTCTTGTTAATACCTTATTTTCTCCCCATGACTGGTGGGCCTATGTATATAAATCATAATGTGTTCAAGTGTTCGCAAATTTGTAAAAAAATGCGAAGGGAATATCATAATTTGTCAACGAAGCATTTAACTGCATGAAATCAAATATCCAAGTTTGATAAAAAAAATTAAAAAAGAGGCCCATAAGTAATCTGCTACATGTAGTCTTGCATACTACTTGCTTACTGCTATTGCATTTTCGCTAATACATTATACTATTTATAGAATTTTAACTCAGTCTCTAAATATCTCTGGTCAAGTTAACAGTGATGCATCTAATAGCCTAAGTTCTACAATCTGCTAAAAGTTTATAAAAGATTGTCCCCCGGTAGGACAGCGGTAAATCTATGGATTTATAATGCTAGAATTAGGGGTTAGATTCCCCTCGGTGGACACAGCAGATAGCCCGAAGTGGCTTTGCTATGAAAAAACATACACATTGATAAAATATTATGGAAAAAGTAAGTTTTATGAGGTTTCAAAGATATCACGACGAATAATAACAAAGAAAAAACTACGCCTACTCACGGAACATACAAATAAGTTTGATTTCCAATATTATTTCACATTTCTATCTCTATTCTGTCTTTCTAGGGGAGCTATGCATCATCTTTCCACAGCCAGTTAGGTTTGAACAGCCTCAAGGTGAAGAGCACAGCATTTTTTTCGACAGGAATTACACGAATCACAAGTCAGATGCACTTATGACGTTCGCTCATATGGGTAAAACATGGTGTCTTGCTGTCACGTGAGCGCGTTCTACTCAATCACAGTCTTACTCAATTAAAACCAGGTTGGCCAGACTTTCTTTATTTATGGCTCTGGGTTCACAATAACGGATTCAACTTAACTGTGCGTTAAATAGTTTCTATAGTAGTAAAAATACCAATTGAGACTAAAGGACGGTAAACGAAGAAAGAAGAAAAACATTACTTAAAAAAGTGAGAGATGTGGGAACTAGATAACACAGATTTGTATGTAGCAGTGCATGACAGCTTCCAAAATTAATACAACAATCATTCACCATCTGTTACAACCACCTGTTTCGAGCACATCTGAGCTATTTGTAGTGATGGATATAAATAGAGCCTTAAAAGTCGAGTCCAATGTTTTTCGTTATTATTTTATCTGTATGAAGTATCGAGAGGAGAGTCAACCCCAGAGTTTTCTAATTAGATATGGTTTTAATCAATACTGTGAGTATTTTGGTAAAATATGGAGCCACAGAAGCTGCTTTTTTGTAGAACGACGCCCAAGCATATAAGATGCGTGTGTGTGTGTGTTTATGTGCATGTAAGAAAACTTAGAGTACACGAAGATAGGCAGTTGCTATAAGTTTTTCAGTTATTTCAAAGTATTATAATTATACGGTTTATTGGGATTATTTAATTCTGGACAATAAATCAAAATAATTGAAAACAGGGTTAAAAGAAGTGCTACAACGTTTCACTGAGTTCAAGGGCGAGTTAACTCAATAAAAAGTTGCAGTATTTCTTTTAATTTAATCTTGTTTTTAACTAATTTGAAAGAGTATTTTGTTTAACTTTCACTCATATGAGAGAAGAATGACCAAGAACACTTGTTTGACCCCTTTGAGGCTGGCATCACTGACAAGCACCATTCTTGTAATTATTTATTTCTTCATGGAACGAGGTAAATAGTTCTTTCTTTTTCATTAAAATGTTCTAATCTTCATTACATAATCGGACGGAAGTCATTTTTACGAATGGTATTTTATTGAAACGAAAAAGTAAGAAATTTTCAAAGTAAAAATAACAATACCATCAACACAACAAGCAAAATATAAAAACAAAGAATAATTATCGTGTCTATGTTTTTATTGCTACGGAAGTTCCCAATTTTCCCTATTTACTTGCTGTAATTTTCACTATGAAATAAAACATTCTGAAGAGTCTGACCCCCACACCACCCCTTACTTTTACTAGAGACATAGCTAATCTGAGTACGTATTTCACGGTCTCAGAATCACTGGTGATGTTTCGAATTTCAATAAAACAGGACCATGGTTCCAGGAAAATGCCCAAAGACGAGGCTTAGGCACATCTAGGAGTATGTATTCGCTCTATGTCGTCACTCCCACGAATCCTCGACCTCCTCGTTTGGCCGACTTGACCCGTTTGTCGCAGACTCTTCGACAAGTTTCCAGCTTATATTGGGTGTTGGTGGATGATGCTGAGAAGCCATCAGTACAGGTTCAGCAGCTTCTTCGTCATAGCAAAATAGAACACACCTATCTTACTTATCAAAAAGAGTTCACTGATTTAAATTGTCCAGAAGGATTCAGAGACCCAAAAGGGCAACTTCGTCGTTTGGCCATTCAGTGGATCGTCGAGCATGCGCATAATGGATCAGTGATGTTTGTTTTGGAAGACAGTGTTGTTGACCTCCAACTCTTTGAGGAGGTGAGTAGAAGAAATGACTCATAATGAAATTAAGACAAATATATTGGATTTATAATTTTAGCAGAGATGTATATAAACGTTTAAAAGCTTTAATTACAATGTTATAACCAATATTTTTGATATTTATGGGGCTTTTAGATGTTAGATATAGAGCCTATCATGTTAAGGTCAAGTCAGTCGTAAAATATCCCCAGTCGAGTGGCAAAGTAAGTTTGTTGAGTGAATCAGTGAAGCATAGCTAAAGAAAGTTTTGTCAGTGTTTTGTTTTGTGTCACTAGATGTTGCCAAAGATGGTCCTTTTAAATGAGCAAAAAAGATTAATAGCTTGTTGTTCATTGTTTCACCCGTTCACTCTGGAAAATGATTTGAAACTGAACCTGGTATGACTCCCATGGTACCTTCTCATCATAGTCCGTTGGCTTCTCGACTGGTCAATGTGAAGCTAGCGAGCTAAATTATGAAACTGGTATTGATAATGTAGGGCTGGAGTAGTCCTGGAAAGTCCTTCAATGACAGGTTGCACAGCAGTAATGGTAATTGGTGTAGAAGAAATAAGTTTCATTATTACATATTGGTGGTAGATGGTGTTTTCAGTCATAACTATTAAGCCAATGCAGAAAGAAGTGTGGATGGCTTAATATTTGCATTTAATAATTTATTTTTCAGGTGTTTCAAATTATTGATGTCTTTCTTTACTTTACTCTTGACTTCATTAATTTTAGCATTACAGCCTTTCTGTACTTCCTCAATCTTATTGTTGTAATATCTCTGTACATCTCCAATATTTTCATCAATCTTCTCTTCAGTTAGATTTATTTTTGCTTTAATTATTCCTTAAATAGTATGTTTCTTTTTTGTAACTCCTCTCTTAATATCATGCCTCTTATCACTTGAACTACATTTAATTTTTTTTTGCCAAAAAAAACCCGCCAATGAAAACACAACATTAAAACACTGATGTCAGAAGTGGGGTTATTTATTGAAAATAAAATAGAACTTTGTACAAAATTACAACTGTTGAAGATGGAGATCCAAGTGTTATTAGAGATGATAGAGCTATTAAAACAAGACCAAGAATAGAAAAATTATCTGATTAAAATAATTAAAAGTCTAATCCATGTAATGATAACAAATTAATTTATTTCCTCCTTAACATTTCTACAAGTTTAACCACTGTGATAAGTTATAAGTTGTAGGCCTAAGTATCTTTATAAATGATGTTCTAACAGAAATATGTCGTTTAGAGTGAAAAATAAATTTACTTGTACACAGTGCTTGAAAGGGGAAGGATGAGGCGAGATGTCATCTTACTTCTCTTCAGGATGGCCCCAAACCATCCTGCTACTTTTTAGTAGACTGTAAACTTTTCAGAAGTGAAATATTTTTACAGCACCAAATGATTGAGAACAGAAATGATATTTTATTTTTCTAAAAATGTCGGGTAAGAGCGAGGCAGGAATGAGACAAAGTTGTTCATGGATGGAGTTAATGAACCTTCTTGGTTGGTGTGATCCAGTTGGTAACCACAAAGTAACCATCAGAGTTTCCATACTATAGCTTGTAATAGTATACATCTACTTATACTGAATTTTATTATTTTATTGCCCTTTGAACCGTGTTTAACTAATAATATCATCACACAATTTGTAAATTATATGGCGAACCTGAAGCTCACGTTATAGTATCGAATAACGTAAGACAAAAGCTGCTCACGAGTTTACCTCGTTAATGATAATTATCATTATTGTTTTTCACTATCTTACCTAATTTAACCTTAATTAATCTAATAAGCTTATAAATGTTTACATTTTAGTTACTTGTATAATAAGAAAAAAAGAATAAATATGAAAACCAAGAAACATAGTGCTCAGCTTAAAAAATTTCACAAGCCATCCCGCTTCCTCTTTCCTCTACAAACACTGCTTGTACACCTTTATGGCTGATCAGTTAAGTAACTGAAAACAACAACAACAAAAAAAAAGATAAAAACAATGGTTGATTGATTATCTATGCTTTACTAATTTACTTTGCAAGATGACTTAGCAAACTGACTGGCTCGCCCGTATTTATGATATAATTCTTGATCTAGAAATTTTGCAACACTTCTCGTTCATTAAAATTCCCGAATATTTCAGGACGAACTCTGAGTTGTGATGCTAAATGTAATAATGAGGCTGGACATAAAGTGAAATGCAAAATTAATAACCTTGATTAAAACACTAAACACAAATACAGTGTGTATGTGTACTTGCTTTACAGTACTGTGGAGTATTGTTTTTATTAGATTCTCACAACTATTTATTATCTAGTATGCTGTTCCAGACTGTCGAAATGCAATGTTTTTTTAGTTTGCGAGAAACGTCGTATTTACACAAAGTGACTAGTCCTACCACGTGATTGGTTATTCTCATTACAACATTGGTGAGGCTGTAACGTTAATATATTACCTGAATAATCGGTAAAGGACCCTGTTACCGTCATAGAATAGGTTTCCCAGTGTATTTTCAACTACTCAAGTGTCATGTAATTTATAAAATGCGAAAAGAAAATCCAAAAGACTTCTTTATTATTTTTGAATGGATAATAACCGTTCTACGAGAGAGGATATTGCCGCAATACTGCATGTTGTGCACGGATGTTTAACTTTATAAGTTGGTAGTCAGGGGTGAAAATAGAGAGAAGTTCTAAATATTGATTTATGTCACTTTTTCTCCTCTCTGTGTTCTTTTCATTACCACAGGTCAAATTAACTAAAGGCATATCTGTATGGCCTGTCGGATTAACCTCACCAATTGGTATTAGCACTCCAATTATAAGTAAAGGCTACGTCACTGGATTTCATCCACCTAGTTCCTTGTCGTCAAATAACATACCAGCAGACATGATGGGATATGCCGTTTCTGTCCAACTACTGCGACAACACCCTCAAACGACCTTTCATTGTTCTGATGAAAGTCCAGAAGAACAGTTTCTACAGCGTCTTGGAGCCAGATTTGATAATATTGAGTTGAAAGCACAGAACTGCACTGAAGTAAATAAATATATATATATATATGACTATTATGAACAAACTATCTGAGATTTGTCTCTCGAAGTAAGGTATATTTATTAATTTTAAACTGAAATAAAATAAAAACATAAAAGTCCATGAATAACATCAGAAATCTTATCACTACACTTAGCGTCTAGAATCTAGATTAAGGGTCAAAGTTAGCGTTAATGGACGAAACAACTTTAGGCAATGTCTATATGAATTGCACTTCTTCTTTCTGCTTATTCTATTAAATCCAAGAAAAGAGCAACAAGAAAGTAAATCTTGCCCAGTAAGAAACATGTTTGCCGACAACTTTAGAAACGCTTGAATTCAATCATGTTATTTGTGTTTCCCTTATTATTTTTTTCAGATATACGTATGGCGAACCCGAACAAAAAAGTTAAAATGGCCAGAAAAAGTCAACATGCTGAAAGAAGGTAATCACCAGTTTACAAATCTACCAACCTTATACCTCAATGTTCTGGAAAACAACAGACCCTAGAGGTACCTCAAGTGATAAGGAATTTTTTCATTTGGTTGGATAAACAACAAGTAGTGTGATTATATGAACCGGTATAAATGTGTCATTAGATGAAAAGTTTGTATGCGGAGCCTCCCAGTGGCACAGCGGTATGTCTGCGGACTTACAACGCTAGCATCCGGATTTCGATACCCGTGGTGGGCAGAGCACAGATAGCCCATTGTGTAGCTTTGTGCTTAATTACAAACAATAATTATTTTCGGAATTTTGTGCAAAGCTACTCACGAGCTATCTGCGCTAGACGTCTCTATTTTTTGAAGTGATAGAAAAGACGAATGGCAGCTAGTCAACACCAGTAGTGGGATTTATCACCACTCTTATAACTCTCCTACGGGTTCAAAGTGCGGAGCGCATTTTTTTCCGGCGGTGAACCATGAAACCAAGTCCGGTGCTAATCATTGAGCCGCATTCAACACAACAAGATGAACAGATTTGCTTTCACTCATAAGTTCTCAGAATAAAAAGAGAACACATTTATATAATTTGAAGAACAGAGTTTGAGTAGAAGTAACATGAATGGAGTAACATGTCATGACAAAAAGAAGTAAAAAATTAAAGTAAAAATATGCAATAAGAAGTGTAGATGAAGATACTCTCACAAAAGGTATCATGTTTAAAAAATCCGAGATTTAAAAGCTCGTGATTAGAATGGTCAACATCAGAAGAAAATGTGTAATTAGTATTTACTAGACATAGGGTAGTCTGGTATATAAAAGAGGGTGACAACGTGACGGGACAACAATGTGTGTGTAGGTAGTGAGTAATTGATCTGCAGTGAGAAAGTATTGTTGAAGTTATAGCGTTTGTTTTAGCGCGAATGTTGAAATCAAGTGTATCGTGAAGTTATATTCGGAAAGAATAAACCAGTTTTATTAAGTAAGGACTTGTGTCGCTAAAGTTTCGTCGGAACGAAGTTACGGAAAGTTAATTCACAAACGGAGACGTAACAATATTTTAATAGAAAGAGTTAAGTAATGACGAGGACTAAAGATGTGAAATTTGGGTAAATCTATTTGAATTGAAAATCCTAAAGTGCTAGCTATACAAATTACTGCAATTTATATCCTTACGTTTGTTTGTTTGTTTTTGAATTTCGCGCAAAGCTACACGAGGGCTATCTGCGCTAGCCGTCCCTAATTTAGCAGTGTAAGACTAGAGGGAAGGCAGCTAGTCATCACCACCCACCGCCAACTCTTGGGCTACTCTTTTACCAACGAATAGTGGGATTGACCGTAACATTATAACGGCCCCACGGCTGAAAGGGCGAGCATGTTTGGTGGGACAGGGATTCGAACCCACGACCCTCAGATTGCGAGTCGAGCGCCTTATCCACCTGGCCATGCCGGGCCATATCCTTACGTCATAAACCAGTTGGGTCAATAAGCGGATGAAATGTTCCAAAAAGTTCACTTCTCTTGGGGAAAGTAACATTTTTGTTCACTTTTCCTCACATTTACAGTAATTTACAGAAAGTATGTAACTACAGTTTATATGAAGACTGAATTTTCTGTAAGACTCTACCGATTAGGCTAATTTCCCCTCGTTACCAGAGAACATCAAGTCGCGCGGATTATGTTGTTTATAGCTGTGCTACGAGGTTTATTGTGACGTTTCACCACATATGGTAGACGAGAATAGATGATACTTCGCTGTTTACCCCACGACTTGCAACCGAACATACCTAACGCAGTGTCAGGAGCAAACAATTACTGCAAAAAAGGTCATTTGGCTTGGGTTAGTTCAAAGGTTATTTAAGTTCGTAAAAGTATTGAGAAAGGAAAGCTATATCATGAAATGTTTCGAATATTGAATACAATTCAACTTTTCAATTATTTGCTATTACCATGGTGTTATGCGTGATATTTTTCTTGATTAAAATTGCCTTTTGCTCAACTTATCTTTTAAATTCAAAAAGAGTTATGGTAATGTCTCATTATATCAAAATTTCTATGTTATACATTTTTTTATTTATCGTTCTTTTTTTTTTTAAATCGAGTAATCACTATTTAATTTTGGCTTTTCTAGACCATTCGCCAAGGTACCGGATAGTTCTAGAAAGTAGAGGGCGTGAGAATAGTCACGTGATCTCGATGACGCAACAATATTGTATATATCATTACACAGTTTCACAAACTGTTATTAAAACACATTCAACAAACTTCATGGCTTTTTGTATTTTTGTTTGTAATTAAGCACAAAGCTACACAATGGGCTATCTGTGCTCTGCCCACCACGCGTATTGAAACCCGGATTCTAGCGTTGTAAGTCCGCATATATACCGCTGTACCACTGGGGGGGGGGGCAACTTCATGGGAAACATGTTGCTCGTTGTGCGATTTTGTTGTTATAGCTTTATTGTGAACCCCGTCAAAAAGGTCAGAAAAAAAAGAACAAAATAACAATATAAAACATACTTTGTTAACACTTCAGGTAAAATCGGATACGTTTTTTTATGTTTTCAAAATTATTATTTATTCAATACAAAATTTTGCGGTGTTAAGTTTGTTCGTTTCAGAATTATCGCTCACAGCTACACAATGGGATATTTACGCATAATCGCCCTTAATTTTCAACTGACAGACTAGAGAGAAAACAGCTAGTGAACAGCCCCCACCGCCAACTTTTGAGTCACTTGCAATAGTGGAATATGATTGGGAATCTTGTAGCGTACACACGGTTCCAAATTGCGGAGCGCGTTTTTTATGGCAACAGATATACGAACCATCAACTCCCAGATTCACAATCCGATCACGCTAATCGCCTTTCGCTATTAGTTAAATTAGATCGAAATAAACCTTCTGGCTATTAGATATGTAGTTAGAGTTTTACTTTTTTAACCACTACAAATTATTACCTGAAATCTGGGCATGGAAAGGATCAATTTGTAATTATTAAGTAAGGAGAACGATAATTCCCACTAGGCGGTTCTACAGAATATTACCCACAATCGAATGACAAATACTTGAGTAAAACACATCCACTACGTTCATCTAACAAGAATAGCACTAGGATTATCTAACCAAAAAAAAAAAAAAATAAATAAATAAAACAAACACACTTTTACAGTTGATATATTACACAATCAATAACAGGAGTTCTGTTTTTTATGTTATTAATGTGTGGTGTGTCATATGTAAAACCTAAGAATTTTGCTGTTACTACCTGTGGTATTAATTTGCTTGCTTTGTACGATTTTGTAAATAATATGACTTGTGTTTTGTGCGCATTAATTAATTTTAATTCTCCACTTATTGCAGTATAATTCTATACCGAGTAGTAGTGGTTGTATATTGTATGTTGCTGTTGTTGGGTTTGGGGCACTCCTCTAGATTGTAAAATCATATTCGAACTGTGAGCAAAAAGTGTGGTTTGAGTCGTTAAGAGACATGTCACTGACATACATGATAGACAGTGTATGGCTAAG